TGAAATTAGGGATTAAAAAGGAAAAATACAGAGAGAAAGAGAATGGTGAAAGAGGAGAGGGTCTGATATCGGAAATAAGATCTGGATCTAGACTGATAATAATCTCCAGAATTAGGTTTTGGATCGACATTATAATAAAAATCTCAATCAAGACTGTTTATCTTCTTTGAAAATCCACACGAGCGGTGTCGCGGATAAAAGCCAGTTTAAACATGAAAAATATTGTCTGACCTCCAATGCGTACAAGGAAAAGATACATAAGTAAACAAGAACTGTGTTTAAGATTGTCTTAAAAGAAAGCACGACAATATCTTTGGGATGAGTGGTCTATTTTAAATCCAGAGCGCAGTGAGGGATGCAATATACCGGGTCGAGGAAAACGAATTAGGAGTGAGTGACTTTGTCGAGTAGAGTGTGCACTTTTAGCTACCTTTTCTTCTACGGGACTAAAACATTCTTGGGAAAAGGGTATTCTGCGTTACATTTACTGCATCTTTTCTAGAGTCCTTTGATATTTTAATATTATTCTTGAGCTAGTTTTTGCAATTTAATTTGCATTATGAACAATACGTATATCTAGCAGAAAATAATATTCGCCCGTTTTGCGTTTTTTTTTTTTTTAATATAGCCGACGCGTCGCCAGTTTAATCTGCCAGTAAATTGTTTCATACAATATTTTCATTCAATCTCTCAAGTCGGGGAACGTCAAGGAAAATATTTGTTCCTAATTCAAAAGTCATTACTGCCCTCTTTGAAAGTCTATCGGACAAAAGATTTATTTCGTTCGCAATTATGAAGAACCGTTGTCTGTTTTCCGGATAGAATAGATTAAAACCAGCCAAGTACCGGTTTGACTCCGTGGAGAGGGTTCCGTGTTATGAATCATTGTGTCAAGGGCGAGTCCACCTGACCCCTGTATCCGCCATAGCGTTGTATAAGTTCTGGGTTAAATTTTACACATTACACATTTCTTTTTGGGCGAAATTTATACATTGCATTTTGCATTATTATTTATATTAATAATATTACACTATTTTAGATTTGTCGTGGAGAGATTTACTTATAAGGTTATTAAGGTTTTCGTTTGGATTTTATTGTAAACTATGAATGAGACCCTATATTCTGGTTTCGATTTAAAATGTGGAAATTCAATAGTTTCCGAGGAAATGGAAATGGTCGATTTTTCTATACCTTTATACATATTTTTTACATTATGCATATTCCAGAAGAATACATATACATACTAGCTTCCGTTAGCGTGGGCATAGAAATAATTCACTCTTCTTTTATATCGTCTGATCACGATCTTAACGATGATTGCGATCGTAATCCTGATCTTTGTCCTGCTCCCGATTCCTTATTCAGATTTCGGTCACGATCTTGATTCTAATTTTAGTGCAGGCTCGATTACAATCTTGGTTCAGTTCTCGATTTTGATTTCTCCTACTCTCGATTCTCGATTCTATTCCTCGTCCCGTTCGCGATTTCGATTCCGCTACCGGTCACAGTGCCGATTCGGACGGGGCAAATTCCATCATGTTATTTTTTTTAATTTATAGTTTTTGTAAGTGAAAGAATTTTTAGAATCTGTAATAGCGCTAATATGCAGATACGCCAAAACGAACTGAAAATATTATATCTTACGAGAGCTATTCATGAAAAAATTTTTAGAATTGGTTCAAAAGTTTGGTTTGATAATACGAATGCACAGAACAGAAATCGGGGACAGTTCATATATATTTTTTAAATTTTGAATTAAAAATAGTCTGTAGCATTCAGAATCAGAAAAGTAGCTCTTTATAATTGACAGGATTTTGGGAATTTCATAAATAATTCCAGAAATTTCTTCCTACATCCTAATTTACAAACTTTATAGTATTAGTACAAACAAATGAATCCAAATACTTCTTTTGTTTCAAAGTAAATCGCAAAAGATCATATGACATTTACGTAATTTATCAATCAGGGAAAACAACGATAACATTATGAGTAACAAACACTCGACACGCATATGCAGTCGTACAACGCGCGCACGCACAAACTATTTTCTAAATTCTACTTTTAAATGCAAAACGTTTAGTTTGAAGTGAATCATTTCTTATGAGTTTGTATTTAGTTTTGTAGTGAGTTAAATCTGACATCGATAATTGTCTAGAAATAGTACTAATAATTGTAACAATGAAAATAATTCGTAAAATGTTATTTAAAATGCAATCTTTACTTTTTTATTCACACAAATAAAATTTACAATAATTAAACATTGCCCTTTAAATAGTATATACTTCTAAGCAACTGTCAACACGTTTTCATAGAAAAATATTTTTTATAAGATTATAATATATATATATATATATATATATATATATATATATATATATATATATATATATATATATATATATATATGTGTGTGTGTGTATAATCTTATTCACTCGAAATTATATCCTATGTAAGCATTGTGATGCATTTTATATATACACTACATACACCTCATTTTAATGCAGATGTGGATGGTATTGTTACAGTTAGAATACAAGTATCTGGGATACAAAGAGTATGCAGTACACACACAAGGTATATAGTCAATCAATTATGTATGCATTTTATACATGCATTGCCAAGCACTTTAGATTCGATTATTAGAGTGAAATCAATATTATTAGCTACGTGTGTTTTCATTTTGATTTTCAGTTTAAGTAATCATCAAATGGTTACACTGCTCAATAGTTTAATATTTTCGCAATAAACAATGCGCCAAGTGTATTTTCTCAGCCTTGGATTCATGAAATCATTGAATAGTAATCAATAGCATATTAATACAATATATTATAACAACAAAATTGTGGTGGACATTGTTTAGCGAACGTTCTGAATCCCATGCCAACGATTTTTTTGTTGCATTCGTTCTTCTTGTGAATGTTTGTCGTATGTGCAAGTGTACGTTCAACCCTGACACAAAACCTATATAAAGCCAGCTGAAGTTTGAAGCGACAGCTATACAGCCTTGACATATTAGTGTGATAGTTAAAGAAAAACATTTGCTCACTACAAAATCAAAATATATAATACATATAGTATTAATACAGTAAAGTTCGCTGTGCTCGTAAAGCTCGTAGTGCTTATAAAATGGGAGCGTAATGTATGAGTTATATTTTTTCTAAATTTCGTAACTTATTATTTAAAAAAGATCAGGATGACTAGAACTCGCGCACCGAGGGACTTACGTGTCGTAGCACCTAATATTTGTATTTTGATAGATTTGAATTTATTCGAAATGTTCACCCGTTCAGGGTTAGGGTAACAAAGTGTAAAAACGGATCCTCTTACTAAAGACTTCACTGTCTGTCTGTCCGTGATCAAGCTGTATCTCATGAACCGTGATAGCTAGACAGTAGAAATTTTCATAGAGAATGTATTTCTATTGCCGTTATAACAACAAATACCTACAACGGAATAGAATAATTATTTAAGTGGGGCTCCTATACAACAAACATGATTTTTTTTGCCGTTTCTACTCGATCATAACAACGATAAAAGGTAGAAATTTGAAATATTTATAGAATATTCAGATTTATATTCACTTTAAAACAAATACCTAATTAATAAAATAAAATTAAAAACTGAAATAAATGGTTATAGTTTAGTGTCTAATGTTGTATAGATAATGGTACGAAATCCATCATGCGCGAGTCCGACTCGCAATTGGCCGGTTTTTTTACTATCCGTTGTTTTCGCTTTATATTATGGAGTTTTCACTTAATAATTGTTTTTTCCATTTTTTATTAATAGATATCGACCATAATGACAAATTTTCTGTGAAAATTTCAACGTTTTATAATTATAATAAATATACAGTCTCTTAAAGATGGGACTACGTAGGCTTTGCAGAAAGCTTCCTTATGAACTCACAAACACATGAATTAGACGTGTTAAAATTCGTGCTTGGTTACATATAAGCCATAATTTAGAAGACGGGATAATATTACAATTATTATAATAGTGAAAAAGAAAACAAAATTTTTTATCACATTTACGTAAGGGTTTCTTTGTGACTTTTATTGAGTTGGTGTTGTTTTCTAAAACTGAATTCTGAGTCAGATATGTGCAGTAAAGGTATTTACCTTTACCTTTGGGTGTTCTGTAACCTGTGTTCCATAGCAAATTGGGTATTTACCCAATTTGCTATGGAACACAGGCCTCTTTAATTTTTAGTGTCCATTTTAAAAATCAATATTCATTTGGTAAATTAATGAAAATATTATCAAAGCATTATTTTAAAGTTTAAATATTAATTAGTTATATTTTTTTGTGTTATTTTATTTCATTCTAATTAAGTCCATTTTAGTGTTTTTATTCCAATATTAATTCAGCGTATTTACTTAATATAATATAAATAAATTGAATTCTTACCGAAACGCGAATGAGAGGTTTTTAACTCGAAAAGATCAATAACATGCGATTGGTTACATTTTTTGCACAAGTTTTAGTGCTAACTCTCATTTCTGTTACATTTGGTGATGTTTTAGGTATAGGGTTAGAGCGGGGGCTAAAGGTTCAGCCGGTAAGAAGTCCCAACGTACTTGACGCGCTGTAGAACCGCCTACAAACAAACTGCCTACGCGATTTCAAATAGGGTAGACGACGAGATCGACGTCACGAGCGATCAGCCATCGCTGACGCTGAACGTTCTTACGCGTAACACGACTGTCGGAAGTTTTTGGCCCCTAAAAATAATGAAAACGTCCCTTCTCGTTTCTTTCATAGATCCGAAATAGACAGTTCAAAAAAAATGGTAAAGTGAGTTCTCCATTACAGTGTTGTGTGTCTATAAATAACGTACAGCAGGAAAATTTTGTTTTTAACTTTTGGGACGAAGCTCCTTATCGCACGTTACACTCAGGCTGCTTGCTGAATTGGGGCTACACGAAAAAAAGTGTAACCGCAACGAAAAATGCTGACCGCTGTTGCTTTGGTTAACATTTTTATGAATTTGTTTGCCAACGTCCATACCATGCTGAATAGGTTCTCGTTCGCTCACAGAATCTAAGCAGCCTCGGGCGCGGTCAGTACTTGGATGAGTGAACGCCTGGGAACACCCTTATTTGACCATAAATACCTGATCGGTTAACCAGTTGAATAGGTAGACTTTTTACTCTCCATGTTTACCCCACGGGAGGTAGGGGGGGATGGAGGCAAATATGTAGTACAGAATTCCATTTTCATTTGGCGCTAGATTGTTCGTAAATGAAATAAATGTATACATTTTTGATAGTTACAGTGTTAAGCTGATTTGTATAAAGATTTTTACAGCTATTTATGTTGACAATCAGCCCTGATTTTAAGACGTTTAGGCTTTGGAAACTGGGCTTTAGTCTCGCCATACTTCACCTAATAAAGAATGATTTTTTTTTATTTGTAGTGGAAAAAGCCATTTGTACGAGAAAGTCATTTTTTCACCGGACGATATGTTCGTACGTGAAAACATACCTACCGAAATTTAGAAAGTCCTTACTTTATTTAAGTGATTTCCTTACATACGTTAAGTATTGCTATTTTAAAACGTAAAAATCGCTAAGTTTGAACTTGAATTATTTCCTTTTGATATATTTTATTCACTGCTTCTAACATCAAAAAATATAGGAAGGGTTTCAAAAATCGATTTTACTTTTAGCAGTAAGTTTTGTTTTTATTCGTTTCTTTATAATTTTCACTTCAACACTGAAAATTTTTCAATAACTATATCTTTTGAACGAAGCAATCGATATTGATCTCATTTGCGAAATTCCATGTGGTTTTTCAAAAATAAATAATATATGAATAAAATAAATAAATAGTTCCGACTACAAACAAAAATTATTTAAATAGGCACTGCACGTAATAAAAAGAGATAAGTATTATTTGTCGCATGACAAGTGTCGCTCTGCGTACGTATTGCTGGTCAGTTTAAAGGGTTGTTACCGAAAGCCATGAACTTTGCAGGGTTGTTTTAATGCAAACCTCATCTAGCATAATGGGTTCTATATACTGATATTTTAAAAAATACTGAAATGCTTTAGAAGAAAATGCCCTTTGGACAAATGAAAATTTGACAAATGTTACAATCTGGAGGAAAGAAATTCAGGGTTGTTCGACACTAATAAATGCATTTAATTAAAATACATTTTAATATAATACAATACGTATTCTACGTGCACGTTGAAATTTAATATTTTATTTGAATATATTTACACACGTTAAATATTACCAGTTACCGTTCAATACTTCGTAATAATTCCTATTTTACAAAGTGTTAAAATAATAGCTGGGTACACTGCCATAAATTTATCACTTCAGATGACGACTGCGCTGTCATCTGCGTGGGCAGACATACGTCATGCATATGGCCTCATTAATTCTCGTATTCATCCACCTGAACTGATATTGAACTGACACTGTATGGATACTTCCATCGACTTTTTTTCTCTCATATATACTACTCCATAACTTCGTAATTCTTGACCAATGCCGCTCATATTCTAATTTAAAAATTGTATTTGCCTTCGCTACCTCCCAACTAAATGAAGACCGGATCAACGGTGTTAAAGTTATCGTCGAACAAACATACAAATCTTACAGAATGCTGTTTCAGTCGACTTTGAGATCTTACTTCTTTCGGACTCTCGTATAATTTTCCACAACTCGCTAATTATTTTATCGATACTGTTCATATTTAAACATAATAATTGTATTGCTTTCGTTGCTAATTTGATAAATTTTATGAAAATCAGTTCAACGGGATTCAAGTTATTGTCGAACAAACGTTATAAGCACCTTCGCAGTTATGTCGAAAACTTCGTTTCATTCTGTTGAAAAGCTTCTTTGCAACAAACTTAACTACTGGTTGAATTTCTTTTGTTTATTCATTAATCTTAAAACAAAAGAAACATTACTTGTTTTCATGTTTTTATTTTGTAATTTCTCAACAAGTTTTATTAACTAAGTTTCTTGTGCATTTATCTGGTGGAATTTTATAGTTCAATTTAAACTAATTTTCCGACGAGTTAAAATTTTAAAATTTTCAACATTTCCGAACAAACGATAAATTAAGAAAATGAATAGAAGGATAAATATGCCACATACCTATAGTTTTACATGTTCTATTACTTATTAGTAATTCTCTAGTATTTTCTACTCCTATAGAGTAATATGAATTTCACATGTAGTCCATGTGACAATAAAATCCCGTTAATTTGCATTTATGAGGAACTTTTAATTTTTTCTCTTTTAGTTCTTTATTTTCTTACAAACTACTGTTATCAACTAATGATATTTTTATTACGTCGATACATTTTAGAATTACTTGTATGATGTCTTACAAATGTGATTATATCATTGGTTAATAAAAGAACAAAATCTCTGTTATCATATTTATCGTCCTAACTCACTAACTTACTACTTATATTTTTGACTGGAACAGCAATGTACATGCGAATATATGCAATTGTAAACTATTGTTGTACAACTTATCTATGTCGTTCTACTACTTTCAGTTGCAAAATATGTCTAAACGGACTTCTCAATCGGTAATTAATTACCATAAGCATAAACGGACTAAGGTCTTTCTGCATTGTTCTTAGAAATATAGAAAATACTAATAGCATACATCTCAAGATCTTGCATGCCATAAAAAAAAATATTATAAAAACGTACATAAGCAGCCATGTATGCAGAGCATTTCGTAAGACATAAATCAGGTTCTCGCTCGGAATCAGTCACTCAAACTATGACGCCATTGGTGTCGCAATCCGGTATCGATTGTCCGTAAACATAGATTAAGGCCTCGATGTATAATCAAAACATGTAAAAGAGTATAGTATCAATATCAATATTGTTTATCATTAAATGTAATAATCAAATAGACATTTATTCGGTGCGTGTAATTTTTTTTTCTGAGATTTAGCACAGAAATCATGAACCAGAATAAGTTGATAGTTTTGTAAACCGTAATCCATTACTAATATATTTTTGCGCATTACATACTCTTATATTGAACATTATTATTGTAGTCAATTTTTGGGTTGGTTTTTGTTTTCGTAAAAGGTTATAAAAATCAATACTGGATTCAATAGAATCAAGCTTCATAAAGCGCTAGTATTCGGGTATAAATAATAAGTATAGCTCAGTCATCGCAGACGCACATTGGTACATCACAATACAAAACACGGATCTATGGAAATAAAGAATAAATGTGATCATTAAACCATAAAATTTATCGATAGGTGTCATGAATATCGCTGACTTGCCCATCCCTATCTTATTGCTACGTCTTTAAATGTGTATCTATGGAACATCTGCTTACGCTTGGCATAGAATTTAGACGACACCAGCGCTCTCTATAAACTTGCGTTCGTGATATTGTAAAACGAATACCTTGGAAATGAATACAGATGGGATTCGAATCGCTGCTCTGAAGTTCGTTTTAACAATCATTCTTCAATAAGAATTTTTCTACGTAAAAGTCTTTATAAACTGTAATAGAAACATCTTTGTATTTCTTAAATTGCGGGTGGAATAAATGAGGTAGATCAAATTACGATAAAGAGGTTAAACAAAGAATCCAGCTCGTCTGGACAAAGTTCTGGAAATTGAGAAGCATCTTAAGTCTAATACATCTCAAGGTTTATAAACGAAAGTCTTCGAACAGTCTGTGTTTCTAAAGATGATATCTACATGTCAGACGTGGTTCTTTAACGTTGATCTCATAAAGAAACTTATAGTTATTCGAGGTACAATGGAATGTGGTTTCCTATGCCTGAGGTATTTGTGCGAAATGAAATTCGAAATAAGGAAAAGGAAAAGAAAACGATCCAAATAAACCGACATATCTCACAATTCTGTGAGCGCGTGTAACTAAGGTGGCGATGTGCAAACCACATCGAACTACCATTAGGACAAACCAGTACGACTGATGAGGAAGGCCTATGTCCCACAGTGGATGTCCGATTGCTGAAACGGACGAGCGAATGGAATATGGTAGTAGGATGGAATAATTATTTCGCAATGGTATAGTATACAAGCTATATCATAACGATACAGCATGTTAAAATGGATTTTCATGTAACGTCTCTATCTGCTCGACGCGTTATGAAGCTTTCGTATTAAAACTTTTGTACATATTTTCCGACCGTATATTATGACGTATATTCGCGTATTGTGACAATAATAACGTATATTGAGCTCCGTTTTATGACGAAATATGAACTACTTTCGAGAACGTGTAGTATAGAGTATATTTGTTTTGTCGAGATGATAGTTTGCAGCGGTGCCGAGAACCGATAGGTGGTATTGTTATTTCTACAATTTACGGGCAAAATTATTACTCACATTCATAATATATAATGTAGTAAAAGTGGTGGCATGTGAGGTATCCGACCTTCGTGCTCGCAAATGAGGGTTCGCGGGTTCGCGTTCTATTTAAAATTAGAGTGGAATGAAATATTCTAATCCGAGCTCGCGGGTAACAAGGGAGTAGGTCTAGGGAGAAGTACAGAGAAGGGGACGAGGGCTGATGCCCGAGTGCACATGTCAATAGTGATAGAATAATGGATTGTTGAGTGATTTAATTGAAGAACCGATCAATAAATATATTGATCTTAAATAAAAATACTCTTTCATTTTGAATACTCGAATCTTTGGTCTTCATCCAAGATCTGCTAGGTGCCTCCTACAATATATATGTGTGTGTGTGTGTGTGTGTGTGTGTGTGTTTCTGCGTGCGTGCGTGCGCGTGTGTTCATTTAGCGCCTGGAAAAATTACAAAATCTCAAGTAATATGTGGCTAACTTAACTAAACGAGTTAATAACTCTAGATGTTTCTTAATTAGTTACCTACAATATTGTAGTGGTGAATTAAAAAGGTAGTGGAGTATGTTATAGAGAACAGAACATATTTGTG